AAGGAACCAGTGCCTTTGCCTGAGGGGGTTGACTGGGGCAGGGGTAGCTCCTTTCACTGCTTGCTCTCGAGCATCCAGATTCTCGCACTCGGGGTCCTGTGTGTGTTACAGCAATTGCTGCTGGCACTGAGCATGATCCCTCCGGAGAGATTCACTGGTTTCACGCTGCACCGCTGTCTTAGTCTGGCTTTCACGTGGCTTCGTTCCATCCTGGTGTGACGGGCAATCCTCTGGCCCCGTGGACACATGGGTTCTTGGGGCGTTTCTCCTCTCACTGCTGGTGCGACAGGGGAAAGTTGAAATGGAAAAGAGATGTGTATTATGCAGCCCCCCGCAGGCCATTAAGCTGTAGCATCAGCTGCATTAGGCCTAAGTCTGTGTTAATGCAGAAGGTGGGAGGAGAAAAAAAAGAAAAAAGCAAGAGAAAAGCCCAGGTCAGCCGCGGGGAGGGGGCGGGGGTGCTATAAACCCCCCAAGACCATGACGTCCAGTAAGATCGAGATGCCCGGAGAGGTGAAGGCAGACCCCGCCGCTCTGATGGCATCTCTGCATCTGCTGCCGGCCCCCGCTCTCAACCTGGAGATCAAACACACCAAGGTAAGCGGCGTCGCCGGCGGCGGGGACCGGCCGCTCCCGCACGGGCCAGGTCGGGCGCCCCAAGTGCCGCCCGGGCGGCCCGGCGGAGGCAGCCGGTCGTGCCAGCCCTGGGGCCCGGCGGATCGCGGCGCAGCGAGCGGGAGCGCCTCAACCTGCCTGTCCCGTTGCTGTCCTGCCTTCAGCGTCGTCTTTCCAGCGGGGCTCCTTTTTCACGGAGCGGCCCCGGCTTCCCCACTCCTTTTCGGTGGCTCCTGATAGAAATCAGAGGAAGTTATTGTACACCCTGCACTTCTCAATCGGAAAATAAAAATGTTTTCTTTCTTGAATTAGCCTCTGTACCCTTGGGCCTTCTTTTACAATTCCTGGAGGACTCTTAATCCTACCAGATTGTTACAGCCCTGGAACAGGTCTCTGTTAACTTCCTTAATATTCAGATATACCCTTGAACTGACATTGTTAAAGGGTATATTTCCCTAATGGCCTTTAAGAGTGATAGTGCTGTGTTTTATTTTCATAAAGGCACTGCTAAGAATCATCCAGTTGGGTTTATGTAAAATTGAGCTCTTTCACAGGCTTTGGGGTTGGTCATTTTGCTTGCAAATGCAAATTCAGTTTTAACTTAATTTCTGTGTTTTGAATCTCTCCATCCTCAGTAGTGTTTTTTTTCTTTCACTTTTGATGCATGGTGTGAACAGATTAGATATGTAAGGTGTTATGTCTAATTACTGGGAAGCGTAATAAAACATATCGTAACTGGAAAAACAGATAACTTTTATCTATTGGAAATACAGCTTCAGGTGTTTTTTGGGTTGATAGAAAACTGATCTTGACCACTCTAGTTTAAAGGGTTCCTCCAAATTATCATTTTCAAAATTTATTTCACCCCCCCGCTTTTTTTTTTACTAGTGCCAAAATTATTTTCATCTCTATTTTGTTAGAATTATACCATGTCTTAGAAAAATGTCTGAGGGGAAACGCAACTGCTTTAAACTTCTTTACATTTTAATGATACATATGAAGTAAGATATGTATATGTTTGCTTGCACAACATTTTCAGAAGGTAATTACATGAAAACAAAAGAAGTGCGTGGTGTATGATATCATTTGGTATGACTTTGCAAGGGAAATTATATTTGGATGGATTTTGTTTCTTAGTGCTTGTATTATCAAATATATTTTATTAAGGTTATTCAGTGGGTGCTCTTTTTTAGTCAGTTTGTACAGTGAATGTGTGCAAGTATCTCAGTTTTATTTAACTGGCAAATTGGTTTCAAGTCCTTTTAAAGCATAATGCGACTTGTAAAGGGCTACTTGCCCTCTTTGTTTAGAACATGTTATTTATGTTGAAAATAATTTTTAATAACTTAGAATGTAAAATTCCATAATCTGAGAAGTGGGTGAGATCTAACAGATCTTAGACTGCTGGCAGAAGTAAGAGTGTCCATTTTTCAATACTGAAGCAACAAAAACAAGTTTCTACATTCTTGGATTAGAATATCAGGTTGTCCTGTAAGACCAAAGTTGGGTATCGGACAGGTATCTCGTATGTTATTTGGCATGTCTTCAGTGTCTTTTTTTCTCTCCGTCTCTTTCTCCTCCCCCTCCTTTTTCTCTCTCTCTGCAGGAAAGACAAGTGATTTATAGATAATTGGAGCCTTCAGTTTGGAGTCCTGGCTTGGGCAGGACTTTTATCCAGGATCCACTTTCCCACCTTTTACAAAGAAAAACAATCAGAAATGAAATAATGGATTGAAACTTGATTCTTTCATTTGGGGGGAGGAGTCACTTCATGTCTAAATGACAAACAACTTCCATAAACAATAAATAATGCTAGACAAAAGCCCTTTACAGAAAAAACCCCCAAAAACCCTTGTAAAATCAGCATTCCTAGCAGCCTCTCTTTCCTGCTTGTTAGATGATCCTTTTAAACACACACACAATGTGCAGAAGTCTTGAACTCTTTATTACAGCTGTCTCTGAATGTAAAATCTTAACCATTTGGGAATTATTCTTTACATAAAATAAAGATAGGTATGATAATGTAAAAAAAATAAAGTAATTTTCAATTCTTTCCAGAAAAAAATGTATTTCCCCTGTATTTCATATTCTAATATTGAAAAAAACAGTTTTAAAACTAAGAGCTGTTAAATTTTCAGGGAGCACTAAACAAGAATCATTGCAGATTTTAAAAATGTGTATCAAAATAAAGTAAAATGTGCTACTTAGGAATCTTTCAAAGTAAACAAATCTCTATATTATTGTATTTTTTCTTAGGAAAGTATCACACTGTTGAAGACCATTGAGTGGCATAGCTAAGTAATAACACTGGCAGTGTGAGTCAAATTGTGCGCCTTTCCACTACTTATCCATCACATATTGTTTCTTAAAATTATTAAATGCCCCTCTTGCTAGGCATATTGAAATGAATCACCAGAAATTCCGAGTTATATCACACAGACCTTTGCTGCGTATTTTGGGATGTGCACCCAATGCACTTTTCACTGGTTAGGAAAAAAATAGTGTTTGTGATAAATCTCTCGGTTCCATGAAGCAGACGCGTAGTTTTTCATTTAATGTGTACTATAGCTTACTCAGAATTGCGTCCTTGGAAGGCAATATAACATTCTTTTAAAAAAAAAACACAAAACAAATAATTAGAAATGTCACTTTTTTTTTAATACTTAGATGTGGGCCCTGTGGAAAATGATGGATTTTAGCTGTAAATATTAGAAGATGTGGTGAGGAAAGCTGAGCAGCCCAATTCTGTTCAAGCTTGAACAGAGTTCCTGTCCAAATTTAAACACACTTACAGGTTTAGGGTTAAATATCTCCTCTTTAGGTGACACCCACTGGAACTGCTACTGCAAGAGATTTTCTCAAGATTTCCATTGTAATTATCTTTTTTAAAAATACTAGTTTTTCTTGGCCTTGCATAAAAGCTTTGTGATGGATATTTCCCCTAGGGAGGAATATCTCCCCCTTATACATGGAAGCTTAGTTATCCTACATGTCTGCTTTCCTACTTTTTTTGGCCTCACTCTCATTCCCTTCCCTGAACTTTAGTCAATTCAGGGATTCATATCTAGGGAGGGTGCAGGTAGGAGGGGATATACACCCTTTTCCTGGTAACAAGCAATAAATCTGGTAGTGCTATCACTGTGCCAGGAGCTCCCTCAAAATGGGATGTTCCAGAAACTTCAAATGTTGAGGTAAGCCACAGTGGTGAAATTCCGCTGAGGACACATTGCAGTGTGCTAGACACAAAGCACTGGATCTGTGGCACTGATAGATCTTTTAAGATCTATTAAATCTTAGGGAATCTGTGTAGATCCCTGTGGAGTAACCTCCCCCACCAGTGTTCCATCTGTCTCTCTCTTTTAGGTACTTGCATGTCACCCCCTTCCCTCCTGCCTACTAAGATGGGTTTAACAAATAGATCAAGAGTTTAAAACCCATGGGTTTAAAATAGACCTGGAATAATGCCATTGGGCACATCCAGACAAGTGGGAATTTGCATCCAGACAAGTGTGCTTTGCGAAGCCGCAAAGGCTTTTGAAGCTCTGCGAAATGCACGCAGTACACGTGAAAAGGTGCAGTGCAGAGCCAAAATTAAATACTGGGAAATCCCAGTATCTAAAAAAATGCTTTAAAAAAATGGGGGGTGGCACACATGGTTGCAGCATGTGCTGCCTGAAACTGGAAACTGACTGGCCAGAGCCATGCTCTAGCTGCCAGCCAGGCTCTGTGCACCTGGATCACCGCTGCTTCAGCCCTCAGACCCCACAGGACCCCAGGTAAGGCTGCTGGGTCCAACCCAGGTGCTGGCCCCAGCCTCCCCTACCCCACCCAGGGCAATCTGCTGCGTGCCAGAATGTACATGCAGGGTTGTTCCCCAGGGGACAAGTAGCAGTGGCACAACTATGTGTAATTGCTATTTGTCCCCAGGGAAACACACGTGTGCACTCCTGGGGACACACCCATTGGTATTATTCTCTTTGCAGAGCTCTTCTCCCTGAGGTCCCCACTCTGGGAGGAAGGGAACCTCAGTAGGTGTTGGTCCTGCCTCTTACCACTGCACTGGGTAATCAAACTTGCTTTATAGAGTACTTTCGTAGTGGTTGTAATACATCATAGTACTTCAAAGGAAACAGTGAAGTCTAGTGGCTGGGGCAGAGAAAAGCAAGGCATGACTGACTCCTGGCTGGCTCCCAGCTCAGCTGCTGTTTTGAGTAATTCTGAGGGAACAACTTTCTCCTTTTCTTCCTCAATTTCCCACTGTGCATTGAGGAGAGTAATCAAACTGGATTTTGTCCCTGAAGTTTAATTCCTGTTTATACAGCATATTTTTTGCTTAATTCTGAGCATGAGGCTGGATTACAGGGACAGGGTCTTTGATATCATCTGATACAAGGCACTATAGAAGGAGGACATTGCAATATTATAAAAAAGCGAGCATACAGTTGATATAAATAGGTTTTGGTATGGAAAGAATTTTACAGTATGTGAATGAACTAAAAACTGTATTAAACTAAAACTATGTAAAAGAAAGTATCTCTTTTCCTACCTAGAGAGGGAAGACAGACCAGTTCCATTTCAGTTAAATTAACCAAACTCTAATCTTAGCTCTACAGTAGAACAGTAACATTATGCACTTTGTAAAAGTGTTGGGCAAGCCATTTCTGGCAAAATAAAAAGTAAACAGGGCACATGTCTACACGTGCAAATTCTGTGGGATGGGTTTAGTCTACAGTAAATTACTCTCGAGTAAACCCACCCTGGCCAGGCGTCCACACATCCGGGCATGCAGAAGCAGATTTGCTGCTCCTGGCAGCAGTCTGCTCCCGCCCCCTCTGGCCCTGCACCACCCCCTGCAGCAGCCAGCGGGAGCTCTAGGCTCCTCCTGGGTGTTAGCCCAGGGACTGACAGGGAGCATGGGACCAGAAGACAGCTCCTTGCCCCCAGGAGTTGCCTACTGTTGGGGTAGGCTCCACCACCAGACC